CTGCCAGCCATGCTCCCCATACCTCCCCCAACAGTCTCCCACCTGCCATCTCCAACCATCTCTTCTATTCATCTCTCCCCCTGCAAACTCCCAAATTCCCAGGCCATGACAGTTCAGTTTTTTTTCCCCTAAAAAGATGAATCAGCCATAATTTGCAGCGCTACTTGTGGCCTTTCTCCTGTCTTGTTTCTTGGTTTGTGAGCATTCGGTGTGCCTCTCTGATTTTCCGAATGTGTTAAGGCCACCTCCCTACTGCGGCAGGGAGGCCGCTCATGTCTCCGTCTGACCCTACGTTTTGCCCGTTCTGGGCTTCCAGGGGACTCCCGTCCCACCCACCTCTCCCACTTCTCATGGCGGGTAGCTTACTCCTCGTGGCTTTTCGCTCACGTGCCAGGAGCCATTGCCCGGCTCACGTGTTGCCCTCACACACCCCACGCTCATGGGTAAACTCTTGGCTTCTCATTTGGCTGTTTGTTGCCCGCCAGGAAACTCTGTTGGAAGAGCGGCAGGCCCTGAGTGACCTCCTCCAGCAGCTACTGAAGGAGAAGAAACAACGGGAGACGGAGCTTCGGGACTTGCTGGTACGTGAGGGAGGGGAGTACTTGGTGTCACTCTTCAAATACACTGCCAAGGAGAGCTTATGATTTGATTTCTGATTCAATTTATTGTTGTCATGTACTGAGACGCAGTGCAGTGGAAAGAGTGTAGAAGAAATTTACAAGGATGGTTCCAGGAATGAGAAGCTTCAGTTATGACGATAGATTGTAGAAGTTGGGACTGTTCTATTTGGAGAGAGAGAAAGACTGAGGGGAGATTTCATAGAGGGTTTTCAAAATCAAGAGCGGACTGGATACAATGGATAGGGAGAAGCCATTGATTTGATTTATTATTGTCACATGTACCAAGATACAGTGAAAAGTATTGTTTTGCGTGCTAACCAGACAAATGATACCCTACATGAGTGTATGAGAGTAATAGAACAGAATGCAGAATATAATGACAAGAATAAAAATTGCTGGAAACGCTCAGTAGGTCTGGCAGTTTCTGTGGAGAGAAATCAGAGTTAATGTTTCGAGTTGAGTGACCCTTCCTCAGAATACAGTGTTACAACTAAGAGAAGGTGCAGAGAAAGATCAACTCTAACATGAGATGTCCATTCACAAGTCTGACAACAGCAGGATAGATGCTGTTCTTAAATCTGTTGGATGTCTGTAGTATTACCACTGCACACATTTCATGCATCGTCATTGCTACATCTCTAGTACAGTGGTCTTAGTTCACACTAGTATCAGCTATAACTGGCTTGAAATGACCAGCACTCCCCTCACTCCTAGTGTCCAGCAATCCCAACAGGAAAGGCAGCTCTTTTATGGTGAAAGCTTACATAAACTTTTGATATGAGAAAGGCTGTGATATGAGATCTGTAGGGGTATAACGTGACATCTCTCCACTTGTAGGGGATGGGAGTGTGTCTAAGAAAAGGAGACAAGTTTAAAATCAGATCCTGAAGATTGTTTGGAAACAATTCTTCACTGAAGGGTAGGAGACATGTATAATTTTAACTTGTAGAAGTAATTTGCACTAACTCAGTTAATTTTATCTTGGAAATCAGCAAACTTTTATGAGCTAAGGAATGAGGAACCAAGCTTGCTGGATGGAGTCACCGTATGGATCAGCCATGATCTCTGTAATGACACTCAAATTGAATGGGCTGAATGGTCTCCTGCTGTTCCTCTATTCCCTCCTAAAATTACGCCCTCTATGAGGTGTTTTGGGTGCTGGCTGGGTGTTGAATCTAGTCAGGGCGAGCTGTATCCAGTTGGGGTGAGCTGTACTGTGTTTTCCTTCAGGCGGAAATGGAGACCAAACATGAGACCAGCCAGGAGAACTACTGGTTGATTCAGTACCAGCGTCTGATGGACCAGAAACCCCTGTCCCTCCGAGCACGGGTAAGTTGATGCACATCCGTTTGCCTGCCTGACGTACCCCATTATGAATAAAGAATTTCCTTAACTGCTCAGGTCACAGGACAGTAATCGTTTGTCCTAAAAACCATTCTGCATCATTTACGCATGTATCAAATAGGAACAAAGATCTTTCAGCACAGCTCCTTGTATCTTGCATTCATAAAATCCCCACAGTATGGAAGCAGGCCATTTGGTCCATTGAGTCCACATTGCCCCTCTGAAGAGGAGCATCCCACCCATACCCATCCCCCCTACCCTATCCCTGTAACCCTGCATTTCCCATGGCCAACCCACCTAACCTGCACGTCTTTGGACTGTGGGAGGAAACCGGAGCACTCGGAGGAAACCCATGCAGACACTAGGAGAATGTGCAAACTCCACACAAACAGGCACTCGAGGCTGGAATCGAACCCGGGTCCCTGGCACTGTGGGCCAGCAGTGCTAACCACTGAGCCACCATGCCGCCCACTGGCTGCATTCAAGAGCCAACAATCTCAAACTTCATCCTTTTTGGTCAGTTAATGTACCTTTTCCTGTTGAATCATAAACCGATTTATTTTTCTTTCCAATGTTCTTCTGCCCGTGTTCAATAGGAGCATGATGCTGTTGGGTAGACACCAAGTCTAGTGGCATCTGACCCTTGCCAAGGGGTGATTTGCCAATTGTTATCCTCTGGGTACACAACAGGGGGAGCATTTGGGAATAGCAGAAGATGGCAAGTTAGGTTAGATATTGTTCCCTTCACCGCTTGACATGGATTTGACCTTGATGGAATGACAGCTCCTGAATTTGGGATAGTGTAAAAGCAGCTTCAAGTGAAAGAAGATTCACAGCTGCCCATATTCGGACCTACTTAGCGCTGGTACTCACTGTGGCCAATACTAGGGATGTTAAGCTGAGATGTGGAGAGATGTTAACAGCCAGTGGCATGTTCTGTCTCCAAAAGCTCCCTTGAGATATATCTCCACTAATTGTCTGCCCAGCCTCCCTCCCTGCCTATTTAGAGATCACCTCCCTCCCGACCCCTTGCTGTATAGTGTTAGAGTCAAACAGCTGATACCCTGACCCTGTTTTGTCCCGTACAGGAGGAGGGCGTGGAGAAGGCGCTGGTGGAGATATTGGCTGAGCTTTCTGCAGATCAGTACCTGCCCCTTTTCGCCCACCATCGGGTCACCCTGAAGATGCTACGTTACATGACTGCAGAGGATCTCCAACAGGTATCAGCAAGTCTGTCTTCAAACAAACAAGCAATGCCCCTGCTGTGTGAATCTGGAAACAATTTGGAGGTGGATGAGTTGATTGAACAAGCAGAGTGACCACTCCCACTGAGACGGATACTGTGAGTGATGGGGGAGTGACCGCTCCCACAGAGACTGATACAGTGGGTGGTGTGGGAGTGACTGCACCCACTGAGATGGATAC